ATGTCAAAAGTGACATATATCTGTAATTGACCAAAATCTGGAAGGAGTTAGGATTGGACCTAGGCAAAATTTTAAGAAGGTATGTGTGCCTTTTTTCATTCCTATGGCACCTTTCCCTCTTTCCCACACCTAATACCTTCATCTTCACTATCTCTCCAACCTCTCTTCTCCAAAAACTTCTGGGAGCTATGGATAAACTTAGCAATGAGGTGTAAAAGACTGATAAAGATTAGTGTAATACTTCTTTCAAGGGAATTTGCATGTTTAAGGAGGGTATTAGTCCTTCCTTAAGCCAAAGTAATTACAGTCATCCCTTCCACATTTTGACTTTCTCCATCTCTCCAGATTGCACAGGCAGGGCATCCCTAACCCTCACAATGTGGGAAGGGATAACTATATTCTCTATTGCTTTTATATTCTCTATTGCTGGAATTTTGGGGAGGAATTGTAGTGCTCTGCACATAGTAGGCATTTAACAAGTGTTGAATTTAAATTGAAGGTGTAGAAGAAGCATTCCTAGTCACTGGGAAGATGGTCACCTAAGGTAATAGGGTTCATGTTGGTGCCATAAAGTCCAAGACTTGGAGACAGGAAGACCTAAGTTTAGATATTTACTGTTAGTGTGACAGTGGGCACACATTTTCCTCATCTGTGAAATGGGGATAGTGGAGCGAGCCCTAGACTTGGAGTCAGGAAGAACTGAGTTCAGATATTCATTGGCAGTGTGACCTTAACTTCTCAATCTCATTTTCCTCATTTGTAAAATGAAGATAATAACAACATGTACCTTACAGCGTTGTTGTGAGGACCAAATGAGATCCTATTTGTAAAGTGCATTGCAAACCTTAACGATGCTAGCTATTATTATTATTCTTAAAGGGACAGAGGAATTGGAAAACTTTGAAGAATAGATTGGGTTATAGAGACAATCCTACAAAATAAAATTTGAATTTGTTGTAGACAACATTATACTACTTTATATAGCTTGTATTTTATCAGAATTCATGCCAGGATTTTTGATAGTATCTTCCCTGAAGTGTTCTATGAATACTACAATAAAGTATGCTCTCTAGCTAGCTTCTCCCCTCCCCCAAACTTAACTCTCCCCTTTAATTTTCTCATAGTTATTGGGATAATGTTGCTATAAAGAAGAGATGAAATCAAAGGGGGAAGAACAGTTAAGGACTCATTTGAAGAATGACTGTAATAAGTAACATGGTACATGTTGTCCTTTCTATATGAAAATGACCCAACTGAGCCACTACGTCCACTGTCAATTACAAGTGCTCAGAGTTGTT